AACGCCAACTGAAGCCATGCATGCAAACCTGTTGGAGAAATGGCACACCGTGCACAAGCGCCATGAAAGAGGCTGGGAGAAATGGCACAAACTCTACCTAGAGCAAAAGGAGGATCTCTCCCCCGAACGTGCTCACGCACTGGAAGAAGATAAGGAGGACGCCTTCACACAATGGATGGACTCCGAACGGCAACTCAAGAACATTCAGCAGCAATTAAGAGACTCAGAAGTCGACCGCAACATGCAAAGTCTTCGGTTACGGAACAAGGAACGCAAGAAGCTTCTAGAGAGCCCACAACGCCCTCCAGAATGCGAGCCTCGCCCGAGAGACAGACCGGTTGACAGGGCAGAGTCTGAAGTTTCCCGCCATTCACACGCACCGTCCCACCGGTCGCACGTGGCTCCATCCCATGCGTCTGGAAGGGCATCACACGCACCGTCCCACCGGTCGCACGTGGCTCCATCCCACGCGTCTGGAAGGGCATCATCCTTTCGCCACATATCCAAGGCACACTCCAGCGTGTCTCAACAATCTCACCTCACAGGTGCCTCCCGCAATTCGAAAGCATCTTCTCGCCACAGCCGAACTTCCCGAATTTCACAAGACAAGCAAGCCATCAGAGATGCTAACGGTGCTGAAGCTGTTTTTCGCATGGCACAAGCAGAGCAGCTGAAGAAGAAGGAATTGCAGGCGATGGAAATAGAAGAAGCTCGAATGAGGGCCAAAAGAAAGGCCGATGCAGCTAAAAGGAAGGCTGATGCACACGCGGAAGCAGTCAAAAGAGAAGCGGAAGCAGCTAAAAGGAAGGCTGATGCAGACGCGGAAGCAGCTAAAAGAGAAGCTGAAGCAGAGGCTGAAGCAGAAGCCGAAGCAGATATAAGGAAGGCCAAAATGAAGGCCACTCAAGACGAGCTTGAGTTCATAAGAAGCAAACGAGATGTGGCGGACAAAGTGGCAAGGGCACAAGGCCTTCGGAGAACACTCCAGGAGCCCATCTTCTTGTCCCATAGGGAACAACTGGAGAACGAAAAACGACGTAGCAGAGTGCAGGCTTACGTGGACAACCAAAGTGCGTTTCAATGTGAACAGGTAAGACCACAGCCAGCCACAAGCCCCCCAAGACTGAGTAGACAAACAGAAGAATCTCAGCAGCCAGATGTGCCAGTCAGCCATGGGGTTGATGTCACGACAACTAGGCCACGGGATCTTCCCACTGTTGCTGCCCCATCGAACCACATCCTTGATGGCAATCGGATGGGTCCACCAGCAATGGCTACGACTGTACAGCGGGGAGCGCAAGAAGATCTTGTCACCGTTGCCGCCCCACGGAACCCATCGAACCACACCTTTGACGGCAATCGGATGGGTCCACCAGCAGCGGCAACGGCTCCACAGCGGACAGCGCAACGAAACATTCCTATCGTTGCTGCCCCATTGAACCCACTGAACCATACCTTTGATGGCAACCGGATGGGTCCACCAGCAATGGCTACGGCTACACAGAGGCCAGCCCCACGGAACCCGCCGGAACTCGGATGGGCCATAGGAGGGACAGTTTGTGTTAACCAAACGCAAACCCCAACCCAGGTGACCATATCAAACACCTCCATTCCCAGTAATGGAACAGCACCTCACCTAAAACCACACCTAGAACACTGCACACTTGTGACAACCAAACCTGCTTTGGAAGCAACAGTGTTCCAGACCAGTCAGAATCACAACAACTTAGCCTTGTCCATAGAGGACAAACAAGACAAGCAACGTCTGCAAGACCGGGAGTCATGGAGTTTACTTCCAAGATGTCCCAAGAGTATGCAAGTGCAGTGCACGTATGTTTCCAGCTCACCCGCCCCAGTGCAAAAGAAAGAATTGTATGCTTCCTTGGATGCGTCAACAAAGGCAAACGCAGTCTTAAGATGTGTCACAGTCTACAGCGGGGAGAGCCACACTTACGTCACAACCATAAGATGCATCAGAGTCTACAGCGGGGAGAGCTGCAGTCTCGGTGTCTTCTTTGGAAAAGCGAGACTAACACTACATGAAGGCCACACCGTACCAAGGTTAGTACTTTGTGGTACCACGTTGGCTGTAAAGCTCACCCACTTGACAGCGAAGACATTGTGCCTTGAACTACAGTCCACCACCTTCTACGCAGACAGTAAGGAGATGTCAAGCTACATCTACAAACAAAGCAGACATTTCTACGTTTATGTAGGCAATAGAATGACGAGTGTCGAAACATCTTTGAGCCCTGAACAATGGCAACATGCGCCAACAGGCAACAACCAAGTGAAGTGGCCCAACCTTGCCACACAGTTAATAGAATTGACCTGGCTAGAAAGTCCTGAGTTCTTGGTCTGTTCAAATAGACAAACGGCTCAACGCGCCAACCTTCAACTTCAGGCACCCAGTAAACGTCAACCAATCCGCTTCAAACCCCTGACTAAGCGGAAGCATCTGAGATTAGGCATAGTTCTGATCATCTTGATCACTTGTCTTAGCATCCCAAGAATGAACTTTATAGGAGTCTGCAAGGACTTAAAGACTGTTGAAGACATTTGCCATGACCCATGCCTGACGGCCAAAAATTGCCTTCCCCATACAGCTCACATGGGCGAAGCACGCATAGGCGAAGTGTGGGAGCACATGATTGGTGCACCCCGCGAAATCATGGACTCTATGTCGTTAAAGACACCCACACCCACACATGAAGTCCTCACTACCCTGATGACAACAGTAGCAGCCATCTTCAATGCTCCATCGGTGGTTCCAGATACCTCGGTTCCTGAGTATCCTGAGTCTTCTGCAGCTGCTGTTGTTCCTGATCCTTCAGTTCCAGCTGTTGTTCCTGATCCTGCAATTCCAGCCGTTCCTGAGTATCCAGCTGTTCCTGAGTATCCAGCTGTTCCTGAGTATCCAGCTGTTCCTGAGTATCCAGCTGTTCCTGTGTTTCCAGATCCAGCTGTTCCTGTGTTTCCAGATCCAGCTGTTCCTGTGTTTCCAGATCCAGATGTTCCTGTGTTTCCAGACCCAGCTGTTCCTGTTTTTCCAGGTTCTTCAGTTCCTGAGTATCCTGTGAATCCAGTTCCCTTTGTTCCTGAGAAGCTTTGGGTTCGTTTTTCTGTTCCAGATTTGGTTCCAGTTTCCTTTACAGGAAGAAGACCTCATCTCACTTGGAGACAAGAACGCATACCAGAACTATTGGCCCAAGGGACTTGCACACCGGGCCCACCCAGCTGATGAACTACTTTGCCAAGCTGACTTTCAGATCGTGAAGCCACGTGAGTCAGGTCGTGACTCAAAGACACTTGTACCAGGCTGATCTCCGATTTGGCACCGTAGCTGATGAAGACTGAACCAGAAGATGAAACCTCA